AAGTGACTCCTAAGTCTTCCTTTATAATTTCGGAGACCAAAATAGTATACATACAAACTTATAAGTAAAATTCAATTCTTTTTTATCACAATTCATAAACTGAATCAAAATCTTATCTAACTTTATAATATTTTTTCATTAGCTTGCTAAACCAAGGTTACAAACTCTAGGCAGATTAAGGATGATATAGGCAAAATGCAAGAAAGTTGAATACATGCCACACGATTTAGCTTTCTTCATATTGCTGCAAAACATAAAGTGTCAATACTTGGGTTCAAACTTCAAACCCTCTTCTTGTTGCAGAATTTTATCCCTCTCCCCAATCAAAAAAATGCCACTAGGGAAAAAGAAGTCCTATCCTCTTCAACTAAAATTAACATAATCTAACATGATAATTGCTTTTGTATTTCATATACATTTAATAGTCTAAACATATTCCTACATAGTACATACGAGTGATTAGATTAATGATTACAATAGTAACATTGCCAACAGGTATTTTCAAGAATATAATGAATCAGATGTTCTAGAGTTAGCAGCTTTAAAATGTGAATCTCTACTTCAAACTATATGATAGACAGAAATATATATAGCTTAAGTAATTATTAGTGGAAGAATCTAATAACCCAATAAACCAATGTTCAAATTTGCTTAACTCATGACTCATAAGTAAGTCATTAAATGGATGGAATGCAATGAATTTCAAAGCTCTTTGAGAGTCTCGTATGAGAGGAAAGGGAGTAGGCATGAGCCTAGGACAACAGCCGGCAATAATTAAAGATTAAATCTTGAATTTCATGCCGGCAAGTCATCCCTGGCTCAAATCTACTCTCTTACCTCTTCATGCAAGACACTTGAGCAAACGCAAACCACATTGGGCTTCTTCGCCCATATTTCCATAGGCTCTTATACTTGAATGAGTGCACTGCATATACTTGATCATTACTCAAGTGTATTTATAGGCAAACATGGTCAAAGATTAGAGACACTGATAATGACCATTCCCTCTATAGAATTCTTTCAAAGTTTATGTGGGCCTTGCATTATGTGTACAATTTTATATGATGCTTCTTTTCCACCATCTTTGTTTTGGAATAATTTCCATGTTGGTGTTGACTTAACCCATTTCTTTTAAAACTACTGTGTAATGGTGTATATATATATATATCTCTTCTTACACTTAATCATGCAGTTGACTCTAGATTATCCAGTTAAGATTTTGATTCCGCAATCGAATAATTTCTGCTAGAAAACGAATTCAGAACAAGTTTAAAGGGTATGACTAAAGTTTAAAAGCAAACAATTAATATTGCCAAATATCTCCGTGGTACTGATTAAAATTGAAAGAAACATGCTTACTATTTTCATACTTACTTTATAACCATTGATCATTTGTACATTATTATTTCCAAAGCAGAAAGTAACATTTTCTGAAGGGTAATTAACAAACAGTGGTCTAGCTTCCAATTTATGAGTCTACGTTGAGCCACCATTCTGAACGGTTCCATACAAAAGTATACTTTTCCAGAACTAGCATTTGCAGATAAGTATTGGGTTTATTCATGTGCTAACACCTTTAATATTTAACAGATTACCAACTTGCAAATAGCTGAAATATATTCAGAAAAATGGTTACTTAATCATCATTAAGTTATGAAGTCTGCTTTTATTAGATCTAGAGTACCCTTCAGTGAAGAAGCCGTGTTCAATAAATATATTCTTGGTACGATATTTAACATCTAATTAAGTACAAAATGTGTACATCGTGGTTCCATAATCTGATATTATAATTCACTTTCCCTCTGATATCCAAATTCACCATCCAACATTTACATGTGTACATGCTTTTGGTACTTATGCATATTTACAAATATGTCAATACACAGTTTATCATATGTATGTCACATATCATGTCTATGTCATAGTTATATGATTCATTCATTAACCTTACGTACGTACCGTATAGCAAATTCAGTATAACACATACCACGTATTAGGTTTGTCATAAAGAAAGTCTTATCACTCTACAACCAATGCATATACCAAATAATAATTTATACATTTAAATAAACCAAATATATCTAAACAAGAATTACTCAAACTTTATCCAGAAACTGTTCTTGTTTGGAATCAATTTTAGTTTTGATACGTGTTGCTTTAAGAATTAGGAACAAACAAAAGTTGACTGATATGCCATTTTCTTCCCAAAATTATGTGTTGACTGGTGGATAGTGGTTGATGAATACCCTATCTTTCAGATATGGCAATACAATGTCAATGAGAATTTGTTCTCTCAGAAAACTTTACCTTATTAGATTTTGACTCAATTGGGTTCTATACCAGTATTAGTATGGGCATAGAGGTTATCATAATTTCAATGTACGTGTCATTCTCAGGACACCTTACGGTGCATATATATATATATATATATATATATATTCACAACCATTCTTGTTTAAGCCTCTAGAGGGCAAGGAATTTGCTTTTCCTTATAGCATAATCATTGCACATGTAATGTAACCTTTGTGATGTTCCTGTCCTACTGGACTAATCGAAATTGTGTGATTATCACTTTAATAAATATGATTATTTGAATAAGTACTAATCCTTCCACTTACTGGATGGAGAAAAATATTTAAATGATTTTTTATTTTATTTTATATTTTCAAGCTGTTGAATTGTATTACTTTTTGTTCAATATTTTCTGTACTTCCTACTAAGAGAATTAATAGAAGGGTACGTTTTTGGTAAAGTGCATCTTAGTCATTACTATATTTTGTAAGTTGTCCTTGTCCATTGAGAATCCATTTCTGCATTTGGAATAGTAAAATCTCTTTTTTGAATAGAGAGTCAAAGAAAGATACGTAAGATATGTTTCAGTACACTTTTCTAGCTATACGGATGGAAATGGAAGGATTGTATTGGTTTTGTGGGAATAGATTCTGAGACATGCATGCATGGGTTCAATGCCTGATTGATGTGTCTGTTTCTGAAGAGGAATTTGTTCTTCCAATTATCAGACAGATAGAGAGAGAGAGAAAATGATGGCAAAATTCCTTCATTCATGAATCAAGTTTGACAAATATATATATATTGACCCATCCCTATCAACATATATATTCATTCCTTTGCATATTGTCTTCCAAAAAAATATTTCATTTTCGATTTCAAAAATAAATAAACTAGGCTCAGTTTTTCATTGAATAGGCTGAGACTGATTTTGATAAACGTTTTTTATATTTGGAGAGTATTTAAAATTTAAAAATAGAGCACATTTATTTTGGGTAAAGTAGCAGAGATGATCTGATTAAGGTCATGTTTGGCGTAGGTTTATATTTGTGGTTTATGTTTATGTTTATTTTTTTTTAAAATAAGCTGAAAATATAGACTCTGTATGTTTGACAATTAAAGAAAGTTTATAAACTAAGTTTTTTTTTCTGAAAAAATAAGACAAAAGTAGAAGCTCCAAAATCATGGGTTGGTTTATTTTTTTTACCTTATTTTTTCCAATTTTTCTATTTCCTATTTTACCCCGTCATAATTTTAGCTTTCTCATCTTTTTTACTCTTCTACCAAACACCACAACTATTCACACCATCACTACCAAACTCCATAACTTTTATTTTCCTCTCTCTATCACCACCCAACCTCGTAATTTCTCATAAGACTTTCTTTTATCTATACACGAACAAAGAATTATGTATAAAACTTTGTTATATAATATTAAAAAAAATTAATTATGTATAAACTCAATAAACCCGAAAACTTTTTTCATAAAACTTAACATTAATTATTTATTTTATGAATTATGTAATTTAAGTTTAGTAACTTCCATTTATTTATGTGATATATTGCTTTAATATTAATATTGATTTTTATATTGTATTTTATTTTAATATTTTTTTAGCTTTTGTTATTATGCAATATTAAAAATCATGGGTTGATTTATTTTTTTAGTTTATGTTTAACTATTTATGAGGTTATTTGTTTATGTTTTTCTTATATTGTTTTTTAATATTAATATTAGTTTTTATATTGTATTTTAATATATTTTTAGTCTTTGTTATGAAATATTACAAAATTAAAGTAAAAATATATGATGATAAAAATTAAAAAAAATAGTGTAAAAAAACAACCAAAATAATCATAACATAAACAAATATCCTCATATCTATAATTTACTATGTAAAAAACAATCTTTTTATCTTACCCAAACAAAACAGACTAGTTTATATTCAATTTTCAGCTAAGGTACTCAAATATAGACAAATTATAATCTTAACCGTTTATAATCTAACACTTTATAATTTCACAGTTTATAAACTGAAACAAAAAACTTAATTTATACCAAATGCACGGTAAGTGTGGTTTTTGAGTCAAATTATAAGTTGGATTTTTACTACCATGAGAAGTTAGGATTGGAAATAATGTGTGTTGTTTAAATAACATTTTGTTTCGAGTTTTGTAGAAAATAGTCATAGTTGTCGATCTAGCCCTACTATATTCTCGACTAGAATCCTCTCAATTAATGGAGAGTGAATAAACAAATACATTTTTTCTTTGATTTTAATGACAAAAAATGTATTTCATTGTAATCAAAACAATATATGTGTCATTAAATATTGCATTTCCTATTGATTTTTGAAGCATTTGTTTCTCCATTAATCCAGAAGATCATAACTCACTAAATTGTATAGAGATGAGCATGGGTCGGGTAAGGTTTGTCCCTTAGCCGACCCTAAATGTTTGTATAATCAATTTTTTGAATTTAGATCTGACCTTAGACCCAAGCTAACTCGATCTAAAATATCGATTGAGACAATCTTTGAACTTGAACTCAATCCTAGACCTGATTAAATATAATACATACTTCTTTCAGATCAATATTATTCTCAATATTTTACTTAATATTGTGGATATGTAATTTGACATATGAAATTATATATGTATATATATTGTTAATCATGTATGATGAAAAATAAAGAATCAAAGATACATTCGACCAAATAAATGTCATTATTTTATACACAATTGAATAAAGACACATACAAATATGATAAATGAGTGATCATGAGACGAGTTGAGGGTCAGATCTATGTTTGTCCCTATCTAACCCTAAATATTGACTATGTCTTATTTTTGTACTCGAACCCGACCTTAGACTTAGACCCATTGAGACTCAACTCTATTTAGGTCCGATCATGACCGAGTCAAATCAGGTGAGCGGATAAAATCAGATCTTGTTCACTCCTAATATTGTAGATGTTTTTAACTTGAATAACAATAAGAGAATAAATGTGGGTAAACAAAAAATTTAGAACTGACATCAAGTGGCTCGCTCAAGTGTAAAGCTATCAACCATAAGGATTCTCTATCCTAGGTTTTTTAGTCTCTATCTTCTTAATCAATCAAACTTCATAAAATAATATTAAAATATTAATTTTTGTTTTTGCTTTTAAATGAATGAAGATTTCTAATTAGCATAAAACACTAAATGATACATGAATAGGAACGTATGATCTACATCCTACTTGTATATAAGTTTTAAAAAAATTATAGAAGTTTTAAAAAAATTAAGATAAGATAGACATGGTATTGAATAAGTTAATACATATTTGTTTGTATGTATACATACATATAGAAAACAGAAAAAATCATTGTGTAAAGAAAATGATAATTTTATTTATTTGTGATAAGTACCTAACAAGATATGATAGATATAAGTACCTGACAAGATATGATATATGCATAAAATATATAGGATGGTTACACCAATTTGTAAACAAAAGAGATGAGAGGCCTATTTTTGAAAGAAACTAACTTCATAATTTTGTTTGTATCAAATCTATGATATGCACATAACTACCTTCCTTATATCATTCCTTTCTTATATCATTTCTTATTATCAATAAAGACTATATTACAATAAACCATACAATCTTCCACAATTTCTACTCCTTAAAAGTTCTACAAATACTATCATGCATATTCAACGATTGGAGCAGAGACTTGAAAAGCCACGAGTAAAGTAGATGCAAAGTTACAATTAACGATCAATTAGGATAGAACTCCCCTGAAATGTTTTTTACCGCATGATCAATCACTCACTTATCTCAAGTTCAACTTTAATTTTTATTAGGAAAGAATTTATATCAAAACTGTCATTACTTTATTTACGGCAAAAACATTTAACAAAAACAAAGTACAAACTACAAACAATATCTAAAATTAAAACATTTAAAAACTTATCAAACCTAAAAGAAACTAACATATTAAACTAAACAAATATATATAATTTTTGCAACTAATAGTTATTTAAACCTTCATATTATTAATGATGCTGCGAGGGTGGTAGAGTGGTAGAGAAGTATAAGGTATAAGGTATGAAAATGAGTCCAACAGAACATCACAGGAGAGGAAGAAAGCAAAATATAGCCAAGAACAACTTGCCAGCACTGAAGAAATTAAAGTATTACTAATTACTCCTTCTTCATAAACATGCCGGCAAGTCATCCTTGGCTGCACTCCACTTTTTGCCTCTTCCTGTGATCTAAGAAGACCTCACACACACATTCTTCTTCATGCCTTCAAGGACACTTTGCCTTATATAGGCATTGGGGTCGAATACAAAAATGTTTTCTTCTATTATTCTACAAGACAGAAGAGTAATACATGCAATATCAGGGGAGTATTGGAGAGGATAATGTATAAAAAAAACAAAAAAAAGTTATAATAATATCATTTTATTATTCTCTTAAATATAATAATATAATATTGTTATCCGAGTTTTTTCCATGAAATAACATACTCTTTTAAATGCCTTTTAGGCACTTCCGCACTATTATATGAGTACGTTGATTTAATCCTCGTTTTAAAGGAAGCTTTTAGTTAAGGGCAAAATAATAGATGTTATTATAAAGAGAATAAAATATTTTTTTACATAATTTACATTTTTCGGCTATTAAAAGAATGATATGTGTATTGTTTTGTTTAGTTTTAAAAATATTTTTGCAGAAAATGATTAAATGATACACATGTCACAATTTTAATAGCTGAAAAATATAATTTATCTCCTTATACTAAGAGATACATTATTCTCTATTATAAATGATGAATAAGTATCTTATTCTTATAAAAAAGAATATCTACTATTTAAATTTCGTCCTTTACTTTCCTATTATGTCCTGTCTAAGAAGATTAATATATCAAGTTAAAGACCAAATTTTATATAATATATTCGGCTCTTGCATCTGTACCTTCTGTCTCTGACTCACCGACTTTCTAAAACAGGGTAATAATATTTAGATGGAAGCCAGCTATATTTAGAAACTGCCACGTGCAACTTTCTGTGCCTAGCTATCCACTTTATGTTTATTTTTATAATCTAAGCTCATTCATGAATCATCTAGATATATATGTGAAGAATTCCATTTCCAATCACTCACATCTTAAAACTCGTACTCCAACCCAATAACCTCATCATAAATTCTAATACCAAAGGAAGGTTGAAGCATATGCTAAAATAAGCGGTTATCAATGGCTTTCATAAGGATAAAGCACTTTTCTATAAATAATAATATACTTAGCTGTCTAACATTGTCATTAGGTAGTACAACAAAGATTTGGTTATGAAAGCCATTGATAACCGCTTATTACCTTCCATTTTTCATGCTCAAACCTTAAATTCCTCAATCCACCGAACTCAAAACACTAGGTCTTTTGGGAACTTTCTTGTTTTTTTTTTGTGGGACACAACTCTTCTCAATCTTGTCTAAACATTAGCCAAGTTGAAATTGAAATGTGCATAAGTGAAACAAATATGTATTACCTTTTCCATAAATTTATAATCATTTATAATGTGCACAAGTGAAACAAATAATGTCTATTCCAATATTTATTACCATTTATAATGTGCATAAGTGAAACAAATAATTTGGGCATGAAAAATGGAAGGTAATGACCGTGACTTTGGTTAAAAGAATTGTAAGTTGGAGATTTAGAGTGGAAAAATCGAAATCTCTGCATTCAAGATAAATGTAGCATATTCTTGTTCTTATTGCATTCAAGATCAAGAATAGTGAAATCTAATAAAATCCATTGGTCAAGTATCCATTTATAATACTTTTGTTAACCAACAGTACCTTAGTCTAGTAATGTAAAGCTCCGCCAGATTCTAGAATGACTAAAATGTTAAAGTTTTGATTCCTATGAACGACTCTTGTTGGGAGGAGCAATCACACAACCCAAAAGAAATTAATTCTTTAGCCATATTTGCATATACCCTTGGTAGTACTAAAAAATATTAGGTTTTATTATAAAGAGTTTTAAATTGTATAAAGAGTAATAATTAACAAAAAAAAGAAAAAAATGAAACTCAATCCCATTCCTTCAAAACATAGCGGGTAAGGAAAATGCTAAATTTTTGGGATTGTTGAAGGTAGGAAACATACCGGTAAAGCAAGACATAGAATGAGAGAAGCATTCCTAATAAGAAGATCTTATGTAGTGACAACATAGTGATGGAGGTTAATATGACACCGTACGTATGACTATGGGAATAACAACTATTCGATCAACAGAAACTTTGTGTTGCTTTCATTCATATATGTGTGTATGTTCTCACTCCCCTATTTGATTTGAGTAATTGAGTAGTAAGAATATAAGATTATATCGTAATGATTTATTCTATGTAATGCTGAATTGTTAATTGGAATTCTGCTAGGCTTTGATATACTTCAATAGGCCTTTTAACTTCAAGAAGGACCAAGATAGTTACTGTAATATTTTTATGATCGATATATGTGATATTTCGTTAGAACAAATTCTTATTGTAACTGTGGCAACACGTGTTCTTGGTATGAAAGGTCCTTAGATTTTGCCTGAAACTTTCAGGTTATAAATTGTCTTTGTCAGTTATTGGAATCAAAATCCCTTACCTATCAACGTAGTACCATAAAGCTTAGAAGAAGCAAAACACGATTAAGATAATTGATAGAAATGTTCAGTGGGTTGAGTATAATAAGCAACTTACATACATTGATGCATATATACCTTAACATCTACCCAAAGAACTCAAAACAGGAATGAGTATCTTTCTCCTTTATGAGTGATATTCCTACATCTATAAGACTATAACCCCAAAATAGAAAGGCAATTATGCCCTACCACATCAATGTTTACCTACAGAACTGTCTTCAACTGGAGCACAATTCTTACTTATTTGTATACAGGGTTCAACTCTTGTCCCTCCATACGATGAAAATCTGATAAATATAAATTTGCTAGAATAAGCATGCTGACATCTTTTGCTTACGCTGGAGTCAGCTACACCTGTTCAACAATAATTTTTGGTACGCCTACTTCAAAACCATGCCCTTTGTATCCATGTTGATGATCGTGATCAACACAATGCTGATGATCATGATCGTGATCATGATCATGTTGGTGATCGTGATCATGACAGTGTTGATGGTTGTGATCATGACCACGCTGATGGTCGTGATCGTGACCACGCTGATGATCATGATCGTGATCGTGTTGATAATCGTGATCGTGATCGTGTTGATGATCGTGATCATGACCGCGTTGATGATCGTGATCATGACCGCGTTGATGATCATGACCGTGGTCATGACCGTCTTGATGATCGTGGTCATGACCGTCTTGATGATCGTGGTCATGACCGTGTTGATGATCGTGGTCATGACCGTGTTGATGATCGTGATCATGACCATGTTGATGATCGTGAGCACATCCATTTTTATGGATGTGTAACTGGGTGGAAGACTTACAACACTTTCCTCCATGATCGTGTCCTTTTCCTTTTCCTTTTCGCAGAAGCAACATGCTATTTAAGATCACCAACAAACATGTTCCAACATCAGCAAGAACTGCAGCCCAAACAATTGGATAACCACCAATGGCCAAACCAATAATTGCAACCTTAGTAGTGATTGATAAAACAATATTTTCTATAACTTTCCTATGTGATTTTCTTGCAAGCTTAATGGCTTCTGGTATCTTCCTAATGTCATTTGACATCAGAATTATATTGCCAGTCTCACTTGCCAGTGCAGAACCTGAAACTCCCATTGAGATTCCTATGTCAGCTGTAGCTAATGCAGGCGCGTCATTTACACCATCTCCAACCATGGCTGTTGGACCTTCCTTTTTAAATTCTGAGATTATTTTTACTTTGTCCTCTGGCAAAAGTTCTGCATGGACTAATTCCAGAGCCTGCCCTAGCTGTAGTTGAAATCACAGTTAGTAATAACTATTTATCTTAGGTTCTATGACTCCAACTTATCCATGTGAAGTAAATGCTGACACTAGAGCCTTGTTGACATTCAGATATGTTGAAGAATGAACAACCTAGTTATATTTTACAACATTCAAAGTATGTTCAACTCATCTTTCATGCCATATAAATAAGTTGATTTTGTTTGAAGCTATATAGAGAGACACACCTGCTCCTGTGCTTGCAATGCAGCTGCTTCACTATCTCCTGTAAGCATAATTGTTTTGATTCCCAATGACTTGAGCTTCCCTATTGCCTCCTGAACACCGGTCCGGCAAGTATCTGAGAGACAGAAAATTCCGATTGCGGTTGCTTCAGAGTATATGTAGCCAGTGGTCTTTCCTCTTAGATTTTCACCTTGTAAGGTTGGAACTGCAAAATAAACCATCACAATTAAAATGAGTTATGTTAAGAAGGATTGTATCATTACATGGTTGCACCTCAAAATTACATTTGGCCTTAAATCAAAGTACATTAGAGAAAGGCATTCACCTGTTTCAGACCCAGCTCTAGTGGCAATTTTTTTATTTCCGATGTACAGAACTCTATCATCGATTGATCCACATATTCCTTCTCCATGAAAATTTTCAAATCCAGTCACCTTTTCAGGCTTTGGTTCAATGGACAGAGACTTTCCATAACCAACAATTGCTTCTGCCAAGGGATGACTTGATTTGCTTTCAATGCTTGACACCCTGAAAAGTGTATAATTTGTTAAACTGGCTTATCTCAGATTCCAATATTTCAAAGAATTTGGAAAAATAGTGACTGTTAGAGGTAGAAAAGATGGGCAGCCTCACCAGTAAATCAATGTGTTCAAATCAATGTCATCTGAAAGAGACTGAAATTTTGTGACCTCAAATTCACCCTTTGTTATGGTACCAGTTTTGTCAAAAGCCATGACCTTAACTTTTGCTAGTGTTTCAAGATGATCACCCCCTTTGATGAGAAGACCGGTTGTAGCTGCTTTTGTATAAGCACAAAAGGTTGCAACTGGTGTCGAAAGGATAAGTGCACATGGACATGCACTTACTAAAACAACTAATGCAAAGTGAAGCCAGTGTCTCTCATTATGGACTCTAAACGCAAATGGAATCACTGCTACAAGAGTTGCTATGACTACAACAGCTGAAAACATTAACACAAAAAATTTAAGGCCAGTGAAAGTGAAAACAGCAGCAGACGCAAGTGCAAGTGCATTGACTAACCTGGGGTGTAAAACTTGGCAAACTTGTC